TATATATATATATATAGCAGATATACAGTACACATATATACACACACACACATACAGTACTGTGCAAAAGTCTTAGACACCCTAGACTAATTTTGTCTTAGATTATTGTGTCAGTAAATAACATTTTAGATTTCCAAACATTGGAAATCTGTTGGAATTTCCAAACATTGGAAAAATGTTTGCATGTAAGAAAAAGGTAGCATGTTATGTAATAGACCACTTTTCAGACAAAAACTGAATGCTGGCTGTCAGGTTTTACCTGCAAAAAACAGAAGCAAGTGTGTCAGTCAAAGTCTCCAGAAGAACTGTGGCAGATTCTCCAAGATGCTCAGTAAAACTTTTCTCTCAATTTCCTTATAAAACTGCACAAAATATATGCCACATGGTCTGGGGTATTTTTTTAAAGACAAAGGTTTATTAAGCCAAATATTGACTTTAATTGCATTATTTTTGAAGGCATCTTTGCTTTCCAGCATTCCTGTATATGAAATTATATACTTATTTATATTCTTTTCTACGTACAATCATGTATATATGCACTTAAAAAAATGTACTGTATAGTCACAGTCACAAACACATACACAGGCATAATTACACATTCCAGGCCTGACCTGGTACATCTAGTAGAGTTTTAGCAATGCTTAATGGCAATAGACAGCTACATTGTCACCCAGCCACTACAAATCAGTGTAAACATGCAGGCAAATAAAGCAAGTGAAGCGAGAGACAGAGAGAGACAGAAAAAGAGAAATAGACACAAGCAAGAAGAGCAAGAGAACAAGAACTAGAAAGATATGTCACACAGGAGGAAGAACATGAAACTGACTATGTGTGAGAGAGAAGAAAAAGTCGCCAAGATTTTACGTTTATGCCCACGATGCTTGAACTTAAATAAGAAAAGAACAACCTTTATATTCTACCAAACTTCAACCCAGATTACTATACATCTATGCCAGACTTCTTCCCCATGGAGCTTTTACACATGCCATTTTTTTTCTACAGAGAAAGCACTAACCAGAGCAGCTTTCTGCTAACATGAAAAAATCAGCTCATAAGCCGTGCACACTATAACCATCACAACACTCTTACTAGTCCTAAGTAGTAATAGCTAAACTAGCCTGGCTTGCTATCTATTCATTCATTCATTCATCTTCCCTGGGAGTGTTTGCATTCCTCACAACTTGTGGCTGCTTCTCATAGGATTACACGTAAAACGTGCACTGGATGTTGAGAAAAACACACCTCGTGTTAAAGCAGTCTTAATGACATGTCAGTTAATTAGAAAGAGTGGCCCACAGAGAGAGAAAGGGACAGGATGAATGAGCATGAGTGTGTGTTAAGAAGCATTGTCTTTCACAGCCTTGTCTGTGCCAATCGGATTGTGGACTAGAGCCCAGTCTGTAGAGAACAGATAGTGAAAGTGGGCTGAGTGTTCTCTTCCTCTATCTCTCTTTTAAAATATCCATATGCAACAAACAATGATAGAATGTCTAAAAGGGATTTCACTTATTAACTGCCAGGCAGAATGGGCAGTCTTGGTCTCCTCTGAGGAGGAGAAAGCAGAATTTTAATGTATCTTTCTTATTCCAATGCTGACAAATTACTGCTACAATGAACATCATGACTCAGAGTAAAAAGCATCCTAATTAAACCGTATGAGAGAGTAAAATAGTGAGAAAGGGAGAGGTGAGGGTGATTTCCTTTTTATTTGTCTGCATATAGACATATCTTCCACTATAACTCTTTAAATGAAGCATTCTTTCTAGCAAATGAATTAGGGCATCATTCCACGATGTGGCTAAAAACACATTAAGCCATTGTTAAACCATTTCAAACTATATGTTGACACTACAAATTGACCATTGCAATGTACTAGTCTTTTATTGCCTAGAATGAGATAGGCAGGGCAGCTACTATTGTTCTGACCCATTGCATGTGAATTTATAGGAGCTGCTCCTTGTTGTGAGTGTAACTGCAGTTCAGGCCAAAAGTTTACATACACCTAGGCTAAAGACATTCAAAGTTAATTTGAACTTAAATCCACACATTTCATGTTAGGTCACTTAGGGTATCTACTTCATTTCCATAAGAGGTCATTTCAAAGTAATAGCTAAGAGACAGATTTACTTCAGCGTTTATTTACTATATCAGATTTTCAGTGGGTCAAAAGTTTATACACACTTTGTTAGTATATGGTAGCATTTCCTTTTAATTGTTTAACCTGAATCGAACACTTGGGGTAGCCTTTCACAAGCTTCTCAAAGTACTTTGCTAGATTTTTTGCCCATTCCTCCTGACAGAACTGGTGTAGCTCATTCAGGTTTGTGGGCCAAATATTAAGGCCAAACAGGTCAGTTTTTTGTTTTCATCTGAACAGAGAACACTCCTCTAAAAGGCTGGTGATCACCTGCAAACTTCGGTTTGCTGGTCTTTAAGTAAGGGCTTCTTCTTTGCACAACAGCCTTTCAAGACATGGTGATGTAAGATTCTTTTAATGTTGTTGTCTTGGGGTTCGGATGAACCTTTCAGCCCAAAGTTCATTCATCACTGGGAGTTAATCTGTGCCTCTTTCCTGAATGATACAGTGTCTGTGTGCTCCCAAGATTTTTATATATGCATATAGTTGTTTTTACAGATGCTCATGGTACCTTCAGTTGTTGATGCCCTTTCTGACACAACCCTCCCATTTTATCCGGGCTTGGAACCAGCACTGAGAGTGCACTAGCTCGTGCAACTCCAGTGGCTGGGTTTGGTGCCCGACATGGGGCTCAAACCCACGACATTGAGCATGAATCTCATGCTCTACCGACTGAGGTAGCCAGGCACTACTTTCAGCTTGTGTGATTTAAAAAAAAAAAAAAAAAAAACAGAATAAATGTCACTGCAAAATCTTCCAAATCTAATGTTTGTTTGTTTATAAGAACACATGTGCAACACAGATACATATATATAGTACCAGCTATGTGTTAATTAAAAACTGGCTAATTGTCATGGTAGCACCAAAGGGGCACAGAACTACACTACCCATCAGCCCCTGCATGTCAGATGTTTCACTAATCACTCACACCTGTTTCCTGTTTCACCTTGATTAGCACCACTACTTAAGTTCTAGTTTTTCAGTGTCTTTTTGTCAAGCTTTTGTTGTACATGTCGTTTGTTGTTGTGTGATTCTCAGTATCACTTCTAGTCTGTATGTTTTTTGCCTCATATCCACAGTTCATGTTTTCACAGTTTTGGTTGCTTGTTTGCACTGTACTTAATAAGTTGTCTGCACTTGCATCCGCCTTTGCCTCCCAATCGTGACACTAATAAAAAAATATTGACAGTTATAGCAATAAAAATTCCATCTAACATTTTGGAAAGCTAGCCAGGAGCACGAAAACTGCAAACCCAAATCTGTTTTCATACAAAAACACATGCGCAAAATAGGTTTATGTCACACCAGCCATACAGTATGTTAATTAGGCAAGGTTTACGTATGTTCATTTGCAAGGTTTTGTGCACGTTCATGTGCATACATCGCTCACTAAATGAGCCATGCCCCATAGCTAACTGTAAAGTAGTTATGATTAGCAGTTCTCATAGAAAATATTCAGTATTCTCATAGTGAATTTAAATAATCTCATTAGAGTTTAACTGATCACAGTTTCTAATGAGATTTCTTTAACATGTCATTAGTCTAAGTCTGAACATATGTTTGGTTATTGATACATTCCTGATCCAGATATTCTCATACCACAGGTTTCAACCTTCCAATTTTGAGTAGAGTTTTGTATTTTATAGTTTTGAAGACCAACTAATGATTTCAGTGTAGGTTTTAACCTGTCACTACTTCTCCCTATGGTAGAATTACCCACATACTAAATACACACATTTTTGTGCCTGTGGTGCCTGGCCTTAATTAAAAACGTGTCATTGGATTTTGCGAAGAGATTATGAGGGTATGCAGGGAGTCTGAGTAGTCCTGACTTTAGCATGTACAGCAGGGGTACACACAGGCTAGTCCAAACTGGGTTTCATATGAAATCTTCAATAATACCTGTCACCTAAAGCACCTATGAGAGAGCTTGAAGAAGAGCTTAAAGAATGAAAGTAGTCCAAAACAGCTTTTGAGATGCACTGCATTTCCACAATCTGTTTTTCCTCCTATCCTTTTTTCTTAATGTTCTATTTTTTCCCTTGCTCTCTTCACTATGCACATTGTTAGCCAGTTCCTCTCCAGTTCATTTAATCCTAATTAGCCTCATGTTGAGAAAACCTTCATGCCTGATTGGTGCTCAGGCCGCAGTGGGGCTGCAACCCGGATCATGAGGGAGCGAGCCAGGGGAGGCAAAGCATTCATCCGGCTGCAAAGAGATACAAGACCCTTGGGAAGAGGATTCCGCTGAACCCTAACCCTCCAGGGGAAATGATTGATTTCTCCATTATTGAGAGATCTCAGACAATGTATAAGTGAGACAGATAAAGAGTACATCAGCCAGACATGCTGATTCGAGTGTCAAGAATTTCACAAATGCTAGGATCTTTCAGCTCAACACTTCTGGTGTGCATTTAGCACACTATTTGCAAGGCGTCATTAATGTTTGCCTCGACTTCTTAAAGGTTTGTGTTCGTAAAAACATATACAAAAGTGAAATACACGCAAAAAAAGTGCAAGCTGATTTACTAGCAGGGTCTATGAAGGACTGTGTCTTTCACATGACCAAAACTGTGTGTATTGTCCATTCTTGTCTATATGTTTGCCATAAAGAATATCGGATATGTGGCATTTTTGCCTCAAAGTGCAAAATACACAGTGGTGTAAATTCAAATGGATTATTTTTGCTCCTACAGTGTGATTTAGTGCAGCCTAAAACATTTGGAACAAAGACTCTATGTGGAAATGAAAACGACTGAAGGGCAGGTATTACATTTGCAAAAGCTCATTTCTGTCAGTTGAAAGTAAAATGATACCATTAATATGAGAATGTTTATCTAAATTATGCCTTAGTGTCTCAAAACAATTAGAAAGGTTCTCAAAAAGCTGACTTATTATTGATTTAGTAAAGTTAGGTATTCACCACAGAGTCATACCTTCGAAGCTAATAGCATTTAAATAGCAGCCTTTGAGCAAATGGGCACTTTTTTACACAAGGTCCATGTCTACTCCTGTCCACATGTGTTTATTTTACATTCAGTCATATTTTGAACTGTACTTTGATGTAAAATGTAAAACAGTGTTACAGTTTCGTTTGGAGACTCTTTCAGATCTGAACTAGTCACAGCTATCAAGAAAAAATAATATGTGTAAACCCCTCACATATTGTTTTCTACCTATTCTTTGCACATAACATCAAATTAGTACTCATTATTTGTGAACTTAGTAAATCAGGGCCTCACTGTAGATTAGTGTCTCTGTCTGTGGGCCTGGTGGGGTAAAGGTCTCTAAAGGTTATCATCATCTTCATAATCTCATGGTTTCCTGTACGTGTGGTGCCGTCAATCAATCAGACTTTATTACATTTTCCTGCACTCAGTTCCAACAGAGCCAACCCCATAACAGCTGGGTTCCCTATTAGCAGGTTAGTAAATCTATAGTTAGACATTTTACTGGTTTATAATGGTGTAAACATAAAAAATGGTTAGTGGGAGAGAGAGAGAGAGAGAGAGAGATGAAAGAAAGTGCATTGAAGCAAAGAAAGACAGAGCTGTGGGGGAGAGAGAGAGAGAGAGATGAGCATTGAAAGAAAGAGAGTGATAGGGAGTGAGGAGATAGAAAAAGAGAAAAAAATGAAAGAGAGAGTATAAGAGAGAAAGACAGACAGACCGACCAAGAAAGACGAAGAGAGAGACAGATGAGCATTGAAAGAAAGAGAGAGCTGGGAGAGAAAGAGAGACAGAGAGAGACAAATACAGAGAGACAGTGTGTAAGAGAGAGACAGACAGAGAGACCAAGAGAGACAGAAAGACAGATGGGTGGGGGTATCAAAAGAAAGAGAAAGAGAGAGTGAGACAGAGACAGTCAAAGAGAGAGACAGACAGAGAGACAGAGAGAGGATGAGATAGAGAGACAGATGATTAATTGAACCAAAGAGAGGGATGGGAAAATGAGATAAAGAACATGAGACAAGAAATTAAAGACAGAGATAAAGAGAGAGAGAGTGAGAGAGGCAGACACAGAGAGAGGAAGACAAGGAAGACACAATGAAAGACAGAGAGAGAGTGAGACAGATAGACAGATGAACATCGAAGGAAAGAGAGAGATGGGGGGAGAGAGAGAGTGAGAAAGAGAGAAAGACAGAGAGACCAAGAGAGACAGGGAAAGAGTGAGACAGATAGACAGATGAACATCGAAGGAAAGAGAGAGATGGGGAGAGAGAGAGAGAGAGTGAGAAAGAGAGACAAACAGAGAGACTAAGAGAGATAGAAAGAGAGACAGGGAAAGAGTGAGACAGAGAGACAGAGGATCATCAAATGAAAGAGGGAGATGGAGAGAAAAAGAGAGTAAGCGAGAGAGACAGAGGGTGAGACGGAAAAAAGAGGGATGACAGATGAAAGCGTTTTCTAAGGAGTCTTACGAGATAATATCAAACACTGAATAATTGCCTTGTGAAGAATTCTCTGTGATGCCCGGATCAACAAAGCACAGAGCCTCAGAAGCATCAGAGCGGAAACGCACAACAGAGCACATGCATTATGCAGACACACACCTGCGCACAGCCTGTACACACACACACACACACACAAACACACACAAACAGACACACATTCTCACCTATCATACTTGAAAGTACTGTCAAATTCTGTATGTATTTTGTAATATGTATTTAAGGGATTAAAGAAAAAATATCTATATTAAATATGTATTGTAATGCTTTTGTGTTCTTTATTTATTTTTTGTTTTGTTTTGTTTTTTTCAATTATGGTTTTCTTAAGCACACCAGAGCTGTTGCACAGCTACAAATGTCTATTTCTGCTAACATTGAATACTTCTGTTTGTGAACATTCATGAACAGACGCCCGACTGTCAGGGAGGAAACGGATACACAGCGACGGGCGAATGACTCGCCTTTTTATTCACCATAACTTTTGCTAGCAGTCAAGATGGATGCTAGCTTACAGGAAAAATCTGCTCATGTAGCTATGTGAAGCTCTCACTAACAAAAGAAAGAAAATATAAGAGGCACATTTGTCATAAACCAAAGTAACAGTGTTATCAATTGATTGTTTATGATTCGATGCAGACCATCAGTGTGTTAGCATTAGTGTTAGCATTAGCAATCACATAACAGAATGCTAAATTGACTTTCAACTCAAGTGGCAGTGTTTTGTAGCCTATATTTTGACATTTTTGTTAACTGAAATTATACTTGAGGTTAAAAGTTTGCATCAACAGTTTTCGGATATTTGTTTTTGAATGTAAAACAGGGGAGCAGAATCATAAGATTTGATTAAAAATCAAATGGATGTATCTCGCAACAAGACAACAATCCAAAGCATAAGGCAAAATCAACAGAAAAAAAAAACAGTTTAAGAGGAAGCTTTGCCTTAAGCATTTTCCGTCTTCAGAGCTCATTTTAAAAAAAGCAGTGTTTGACATCTGGCCCAGTTCCAACAGTGATGTCAAGAAGAAAGTGCAAAGATTTGCCAAGCAATCTGGCAGTGTCTGAAGAGACATGTCAGGAAGAATATGGAGAGGACACGAATATTACAACTCAGAGGATATGAAGGAAGTTAGACGCAGTTATAAAGGCCAAGGTTGGGCAAACAAGTTATAGATATTTATATCGCAGTCAGAAAGAGAAATGAAAGGTTTATGTTAATATCTTTGCTTGTACTATGTGA